AGTTTCTCCATAGTAGTCTTCCAGGAAAAGCAAGCAAACTTGAGAGAAGCCTTCTTATGCCAAATGAAATTATACCATGGAACCTCATCCATGTGAGAATAGAATTTATCTGTAAAATGCTTAAATTTAGGATAATTAGAGCCATCCCAAGCCAGAACGGGGGTCTAAGGGGGCTGCGCCCCCTAGCTGGGTTCGACTTAGGCTTTGTAATAAAGACTAAAAAATAGATTGAATGAGACAAATTACCTACAAAATCATGAATGGGTTTATGCATTTATTTTAATAATATTTTTAATTTAAATTTAAGAAAAAAAACTTATTATTCAATGCAAGTTCAAATTAACATTAAGATGTATAATTTTAATGAGGTATCCTATATGTTGTGGCACTAAAATTATAATTTGTCTTCATATAAAGGATTAAAATATTAGTGAACTCCATGAAGAGCAATCATATCTAGGATAGATATTTTGTAGAGCTACCTACCAAAGCTAAGGTCATTCTATATAATTATAATTTTTAAGATTAAGGTTTCCTTTGTGATGGCTTTCTTTCTACTTTTTAAAGTAGTTTTTTAGAACAAAAATTGAAAATTTTATATTAAAAAATTTCTCAGGCCCTGCCACCATTCCTTTGCCTTTAGGGTATTTACACCAACTTCTAAACTTGAATAACCTGCCAAGTATACATGAAGAAATAAAACAAATTTCAACAAGTATTAAATCAAGTTTTGCAAGTTAAATTTGAATTACTGTTATGACATACAGGTCTGTACTTGTTTTGAATGGAAATGGTGCTGATGTTGCTAAGCATTGTGTTCCTGTTGTACCTACACGAAGGTGAATATGTTGAGATTGAGCTAATAGTTTGCATTTACAATTGAGTTTATTTTTGCTAACAACTATTTAATTTTTTAACAGGATTTCGATTACATTTAGGAAGATGGATGACTCGAAGATTCCATATGATTTCATTCCTGATCCTGAACTACAAAATCTTCGCCCATTGTCACTACGAGGACAAAACCATCCCAACATTCTTCCACTCCAACAAGATCAGCAAGATGAACCACCTAAAAATGCTCAGCATTCACAAAAAGTTCAACAAGCTCAGCACGCACAAAAAGTTCTACAATCGCTTGCTCAACAGAGACCTATGCGACTAAGTGAAGATGATTTTCCACCGTTGAGCTCCAACACAACAGTACAGCTCCGTCGCAAGTGACACTTTTCCTCCTACATGATGAGATTCAACTGAAGCTGGGGTTGTTTACAAAGCTGTTTTCCACAGTTCTTGTTTACAAAGCTGTTTTCCACTTCGGGTTCGGGTCAACTCAACTCGTTTTTGCAAACGGGTCAATTTTTCGGACTTGAACCCGACCCACTTCTGGTTCGGGTCAACCCGACTCGACCCCCTTCGGTGCAGGCAACGCTTCTTTTGGCAATTAGATGACTTCGATCCTTCGGCATTTTCGGCAAGGCCACACGCGATTCAGCCCTCCGGCTATCCAGCAGTGGGAGACGACAGCTGACGCCGGCGGGGTAGTGACAATAGTGTAGGCAACACGGGTGGCGTGGCACTAGGGCTGGCTGCGACACGCGCGACTCGCACACTGCGCGCCTGCGCAGGGGGCGACGTGAATCGGGCAGGCAACGTCACACGCGGACGCTACTTGATGTTTCGAGCCTCGGCTCGATGCGATTCGACGGGGGGCAGAGGGTATCCGAGGCAGCCTAGGCAGGCAACGTGGCGCAGTGGGCAGCCAAGGTAGACGGGTTTTCTGGGTCATTCCCGGGTTTCAAGGAAACCTAAACCCGACCCGGTTTTGCAAACGGGTCGGTTTTCTAGACCAAAACCTGACCTGCTTCGGGTTCTGGTCAACCCAAACCCGAAATTTTCGGGTTGGGTCCAATATTGACAGGTCTAATTGGGATAGTTTTCCTACTGTTTTCTACATCAACTTTATTTTAAATATATATCTAAAGCAGCGACAAAATAGTGCTCAAATGCGATTCCCAAATGAAGTCTTATTCTATTGTTTTGAGGTCGGTGGATGGAGTTGAGCTACAATGATGTATATTGGAAACCAAAGAAGAGAGATTATTGTGTGCGCCATCTGGAAAAATACAAAGTCGTCACAAACGAAGTATTGGTCTTTTATAGTCATCAGAGCTGCTTTTTGTCAACTTGATTTCATAATCACACTCAATGCATTACACTACAATATAAATATCCCTTTTTTACATAAAATAAATAAATAAACTATTTTTATTACTGAAATAAAATCTTAATGCTTCATTGTATTTTCAGATTATTAAAAAATATGTTTGTATAAGTATATGATCATGTTAACATGTTCAGTAAAAACCATTTAGTCTTTGTCATATCTACTCGCAAGCTTTCTTATACTGCAAAAAAGAGGTCAAACTCTACAAAGCCCTTTTTTTCATGCTTGCATAAAATTTTCACAGAATGTACAACATCATCCGAATGAAAATAATCATACAAGGATTTAAGCTCAATTACAAGAACTAATAATGAAGATCAAGAAACAAAAAAGATTAAAGAAAATGTCCAATGAAAAGAGCTCGATCAAGAACATGATAAAGAGCATATAATTTAGAATATTTTAAAAATAAATTTTATTTATTTATTATCTAGAAATTTGTATAGTTAGCTATGACATGATTTGATATGGACGAAGTATTAAAAATAGCTGGTTGGGACTCTTCCTAATTAATGTTGATATATCTTGCAAAAATTATCTTGATCGGGCACGAATCTCAAGGCAAAAATCAAGTTGGAAACTTCAAAAATTAAATCTGAGAGCATCTGAACTTTGATTTCAGCAAACTAACAATCAAACTGAGTGTCTCGGAAATACGAACCCAACGACACCAAATTCAACTCAATCTGAGCCCAAATGAGTCCAAATCAAGAACCCGAAGAGCTGTTGGAAAGTTCGTACCACAATTCGAGTTACCAAACGGTCTCCGAATTTGACGAGCTTCTAGGCGAATCGAGCGGCTCGACGAGACAAATCCAACGAGCCCAAGATCGCCAAATTTCGACATCATTAAAAACTTCAAATGTCTGAAGAACGGTGCTTAATCAAAGGATTCAATATCAACCGTCCGTTCGACCACTCTATATTTGCCCCTGATCTCGCACCTATTTACAAGCTATGCCACTCCAGAAAATCTACAAATAGACCCCTCATTTCTCATGAGAGGAAAGGAAGAGCCAAACAAGAAGAAAGGAAGAAGAAGCGGAGAACAGAAGAATAGGATGGAAGAGACTCCTCCTCGACCACCTCCGGAGTTCCGCCCGAACTCCAAATGACGTCGGAATTCTGTCCGACTTTCACGAGATGCCAGAATTCTGCCATACTTCCACGGGATACTGAAATTCTGCCTAAGTAACTACAGAGTTTCCCCATGACGCCGAAACTCCACCCAAGTGATACCAGAGTTCTCCTTGGTCACCAACAGACGTCGGACTTCTACCTGACGTTGGACCCTTACTCATCGCCAAGTTTCTACCCGACGCCGGACTTCTACCGGTTATCAGACTTTAGCTGGACTTTTATCCGAAGATGGATTTCTTTCCATTGTTGGACTTCTACCTGACGCCGTCCTTCTGACCTTCTTCATTAGAAAATACTTCTTCTGACCTTCGTCGCCAGCCGACTACGGTCCTCCTGACTTACGTCGCCTGCCGACTACAGTCTTTCCGACATTCGTCGCCCGTCAACTATAATCCTCCTGACTTACGTCGCCCGCCGACTACATTCTTTCCGACCTCCGTCGCCCGCCAACTATGGTCCTTCTAACTTACGTCATCTACCGACCGCAGTCCTTCCGACCTCCATCGCCAACCGACTATGGTCTTACTAACTTACGTCGTCCGCAGACTACAGTCTTTCTGACCTCCATCGCCAGACAACGGTCTTTATGACCTCCGTCGCCCGCCGACTACAGTTTTTCTGACCTCCGTCACCAGACTATAGTCCTTCCGACCAAACGAGCACATCAACAGTGACTTTTTGTATTTCAAACATGTAATATACTTCATATGATGTACATCAAGCCCATGCATTCCCCCAAGGAAGACCTCATTTGTAATCGACTACTATACTAGTGGATTCATTCACACTAGGCTAGGCCCAGTGGTTTTTCCCCCGTTTTAGAGGTTTTCCGCATACAAATATTGGTGTCTCCTATGAATGCTACACACTCTCTTATCTGATTGCATGCCGGATTTTTGTACAACGTTAAGACGTTAAACTTTATATCTCTACCGCTGCGAATACTCCTAGACGCAACAAATGTCATTATACTCCATTTTTCCTCTACTTTTTCTCAAAAAGTGTTTGCATAAGTGTCTTGTAAACGCTCATACATACGAGATGATTATTTTTTTATTTTTACTTACAAAAGAAATATTTTTGTGGAGAAGTGTTCTTCACAAAACGGTATTGATCTTCACAAAACTATATTCCTCATTATTATCAAATAATACCTAGTAATACCGAGCAAATAGCGAGTTTTTTGGCGGAATTTTGCCTCCGACTGGACGTTCCTCTACGTCCTTACACCGGACCTAATAAAAGTTCCTCTATATCTCTCTCTCTATATATATAGCTCAAATTTACAGTAATAGTTGGGCCATAAATTTTTTACCATAATATTTTTTATTTTTATTATTTCAACAATATAGTGAAAAATAAAAAAATAGGAAAACATTATTTTAATCTTAAAAAGAATTGGTCATTTCGTAATTTCATAAATTTTGGCCATTCAGATTAAAACTCGGACGTATAACCACGTGCGTCACCGTCCGTTCTCGCCGGACAATCTCAACTTATTTTTAGAAATTGCCAAAATTTATTTATTCTTTTTTTTTTAATTGACCCAATAAAAAATCTAAAAATTTAGTCTAAACAATTTTACTCGTTTATGGTTGTTTAGTTGAATCCACGGGCTTATAAATAACTTGTAATTGTAAAGAAGAGCAAAAACCCGGAAATTATAAGAGAAGCGAGCAGCCAGGAAAGGGGAAGCGATGGCCGCCGGCCGATCCGTCGACAAAATCTCCGAAGAACTCAAATCGCTTTCACTCCGTGTCACCGCTGGAGGCAGCGGTAGAGGTGGAGGGATTTTGCTGGATGAGGACGATGAGGCAGTCCGGTTTGCTAACGTGAGGAAGAATGACTTCAAGCACTGGGAGAGGGTGAGGGGACGACTGATCAACATCCTGGACGGTCTTGAACTCCACACCGGCGTATTCTCCGCCGCCGAGCAGCGGAGGATCGTCGATTGCGTCTATGCTTTCCAGGAAAAGGGGCGGAAGGGCCGGCTTAGAGGTATATTAATAATGTTCTAGGCTTTTTTCTGAAATTTTTAGAATTTAGATAAAATTGCTTGATTTTAGTTATAGGTCTATTGATTTCGCTATTCTTTCGTCCGTCGGGACAGCATACATGTACATTAATCTTCTAGATTGATGATTTGTAGTTTCATCTATTAAGATGGGGATGTTTGATTAGAAAGGCATATATGCCGAAAATTTATCTAACATAAGTAATTGTTCAGGCACAATTGGAACCTGTAATATTAACCTGATTAATGTGAATATGAGATGAATCAGACAATTTGTTTGCGGATAGATTTGCCTATGTGATGTAAAATAGTTGCAATTCATGGATGCGTGCAGATTTATAGAAAGTGTTACTCTTTGCTTTTCTTTGGATTCAATGTTTTGGTGAATCTCCTTCTATCTTGATGCTGGTCAACCTTAGGTGCGTAAGATATTGTACATAAGGCCTCAATAAAGCTTTGGTTTGTTAATATACTATGTTTAGAAATGAAGGGGTGTAGTTATCTTGGTTTCTTGAATCAAGCACTCTATTTTCTTTTAGCATGACATTTTGAGTACGAAATAAACATGTAGTTGGTATTGATATTAAATTGGAAATGTTTGAAATTTGGAATTCTTATCAAAATGACAATATTAAATTTTTTTTGTGTTACAAATTACTTTGCATTCATAAAAACATTTCTACTAAATGATGCCCCAACATCTTCAAATGCCAACTTTGTAGCAGTACAATTGCATTGCTTGTAGTGAACTAAAATTAGATAGTGTAGAAAATTAGTTCACAATCTTCATCTGTTCATCATAAGGATGGTTTAACTATTTTATGTAAAATGAAAAAAAAAAAATCATAGCCCATTAATCCTCACCTCCTAATCATCGAGGTTTCCTATAATGCAAAATGAGGTTTAAGTTCACAAAATTACTTTTCTTAATGATTTCATTTGTAAGTTGCTTCTAAATATTTCTTTCTATGCCTATTTGATGAGTTGATCCTTAGAATTTACTTATATTTGCAGAGCGCACATATTCAGATCCTAGAAAGTGGATGCGAGGCAAAGGACGTGTCACGATACAGTTTGGTTGTTGTTACAATTATGCAATGGTAGCACTCTATCTATTTCTTCCTTATCTTGTTGGTCTCTTAGGATTCATTTGGGATGGATTTTTTACTGCTTCTTAAATCAAGTTTCTAGTACAAGAATTAAAATTTTAATACTAAAAAGTTACTTTAAGAAGCTGCAAGAAAATCGTCTCAAACGAAACCTTAATCTAATGATGTACTAATTACCAATTCAAAATGCAGGAGAGGAATGGGAATCCCCCTGGCATAATCCGCGATGAGGAAGTCGATCCTATCCCACCATTATTGAAACAAATGATCAAGAGAATGGTTGATTGGAATGTTCTCCTACCATCATGCATCCCCAACAGCTGCATTATCAACATTTATGACAGGGATGACTGCATTCCTTCTCACATTGATCACCATGACTTTGTTCGGCGATTTTGCACGGTTTCTTTCTTGAGTGAATGCTCCATCGTTTTTGGAACGGAGTTGAAGATAAATGGACCAGGAGATTTCTCAGGCTCTGCCTCCATTCCTTTGCCTTTAGGGTATTTACACCAAATTATTAACTTAGAATAACGTGCATCATATTCGAGAAGAAATAAAACAAATTTCAACAAGTATTAAATCAAGTTTTGCAACATAAATCTGAATTATTGTTATGATATACAGGTCCGTACTTGTTTTGAATGGAAATGTTGTTTATGTTGCTAAGCATTGTGTTCCTGTTGTACCTACGCGAAGGTGAATATCTTTGGATTGAGCTCATAGTTTGCATTTGCGATTGAGTTTATTTTTGCTGACAATCATTTAATTTCTGAGTAGGATTTCGATTATGTTTAGGAAGATGGATGACTCGAAGATCCCATATGATTTCATTCCTGATCCTGACCTGCAAAATCTTCGCCCATTGTCATTACGAGGACAACAGCATCCCAGCATTCTTCCACTCCGGTAGGATCAGAAATATCAACACCTAGAAATGCTCAGCCTTCTCAAAAAGTTCAACAAGCTCAAAAAGCTCAGCAAGCACAAATAGTTCTACAATCGCTTGCTCTACAGAGAACTATGCAACTAACTGAAGATTATTTTCCACTGCTGAGCTCCAACCCAAAAGTGCAGTCCTGTCAGAAGTTACACTTTCCTTCCTATGTGATGGGATTCAACTGAAGCTGGGGTTGTTTACAAAGTTGTACTCCATTGTTCATAGCTCTGCCGTGAGTTTTTTTTTTTATGTTTTACTAGGCAAAAGATTATTACTCTATTTTATAGGTCAAAGAGAGTAAATTGTATTAAAGAAGTTAGTTACCAACTATAATTATTTTTGTAATCCTTTTGTAATCATTTTACTATGTGTTGTTGTTATAATAGTTGAGTTGTCAATATGAGATCTCGGGTTGATTATATTTATGTTTGGTTTGGGACAATCTTTCAAATTGCAATCATAATTTTTAATGATTTTTAGCTATTTCTAAAAAAAATTTGTTCTAAGAGGTTACTTGCAACAATTTTAAAAGTTACTTTATCTATAGTAGTTTTATAAATAAGTAAGAAAGTCATCCCAAATGAAGCCTTGGGATAATTTACCTACTATTTTGTACATCAGGTTTCTAGCAAAAAATAAATAAATAAATAAATAAAGCATCAACGAAATAGTGGTCAATTGCTTTTCCCAAATGAAGCATTATTCTATTGGGTTTTGAAGTTAGCGGATGGAGTTTGGGTTACAGGGATGTATATTGGAAATCAAAGAGTGATTATTGTGTGTGGTGTCCGGAGGCGAATCCGGATGCGTCACATCACCCGAATGTGTCGGGCCCCGGGTGACGTGGTGCATCTAGATTCGCCTCCAGACGAAAGTGAACGCCGAACGTAATAAATTTCCATGATAGAGAGGGAATAAAAAGCCAAATTTAGCTTTCCTTGATAAGTAGGAAGCCCATTGTTCATTTGTTCTCTAGGAAATTTGGAGTTAATATTTGCTGTCAGAAACTTCTTTCTAGCTTTGGACGAGCATGCCTGAATGACATAACTTGGACAAGCCAGGGAAATAATTTTTTTTTTCTAAAACCCATTTGACTCTATTAGAAAGGCTTTCATATTGGGAGATTAAGGTTTTCTTTGAGATGATTTTCGTACTGTTTTTTAAAGTAACTTTTTAATATAAAAATTTTTTGAACTAAAATTTCATGTACTAACATAGTTGTTTTAGAAAACAGTAAGGAAACCATCTCAAACAAAACTCAAGTAAATAAAGTCTCGGGATTGCATAGCCTTATGAGTTTTTATTATGCTTGTTAATCTCTAGTTTTAGTTGTTAATTATCTTTAATCACATTAGATAACTTATTAAATGTTTCATAATACTTAATATTTTTTCATCCCTATATATCATGTGTTGAATGAAAACATCTTTCAACATCACTAATCTCATAATATGATTCTACAAGTTACATCGTGCTCATCAAGGCAGATAATCTTTGTACAAGTGGGTTGTAAGTAAGTAAAAATGTGAGTATGTTCTAGAAGTATATTATTGATTTATTGTTTTCCTATTGCTTTCATTTTTACTTATTGCATTTTTATCATACTGTACTTTCAGTTTAAATTTCAATATTAATAACTAAAATGAATCATATAGGAAGTTTACTAAGCTAATAATGCTCATTCCATTCTTTTAATGTTTTAGGCAAAAGTAAACATCATGTCGAGTAAATCAGTTGTAAAGTCATGATTTTGAATCCTTTTTTTTTTTTTTTTGAGAAATTTTGGAGCCTAAGCCCATATATTACTATAAAAGGAAAGTTACAAGTAAAAGTGATCCAAACCCGGAAGCTAAACACAAAAATTAGCTAGGGGAGGAAAGGAACCAAAAAAACTCAAGAAAAAAAAATTCCACCTAATACAATAGTGTAAAAATGAGAACTCCAAAAATTGAGTAGCAAAAAAAATTAGGACTCAGGTTGCAGCCAATGAATCCAAGTGTCAAAATTCATCACAAATGATATGAAAAAATTCCCCTAGTTGCTGAGGAGAGACCGTCAAAGGGGAGAGGCTGCAGCAGTCATCATAGTCCTGCAAAAAACTTGTAACCGGAATTTCCTCGAAGCTAGAGTATGAGGACCCCTGGTTGCCAAGGAAGGCCATCCAGGGGACTGAAAATTCGAAGCATCAGAGACCGGAGTTATGTCAGACCACCACCTGAGGCCCTGAGTTCCGTCAGACCACCAATTGAGGCCTTGAGCTCCACCAGACCACCACTTTAGGCCCTAAGTTTCGTCGGACCACCACTTGAGACCCGAAGTTCGTTCAGACCACCACATGAGGCCCTGAGTTCCGTCGAACCACCACCTGAGGCTCTAACTTCTGCCAGACCCCCACCTAAGGCTCGGACTTCTACCGAACCACCATCTGAGGCTCGGACTTCTATCAGACCACCACATGAGGCCCGAACTTCTGCTGGATCACCACCTAAGACTCGAACTTCTGTCGAACCACCACCTGAGGCCCTGACTTCTACCGGACCACCACCTGAGGCCCTGACTTCTACCGGACCACCACCTGAGGCCCTGACTTCTACCGAACCACCACCCGAGGCCCTAACTTCTGCCAGACCACCACCTGAGACCCCAGAGTTTCGCCAAACTACTAATTAATGCCAGAATTTCCAAGTCATGTCGGACTTCTGCCATACCACAAAGTGACATCGGACTATCATCCCCATTTGTCACTGGATTTCAACTTTACAATTGACCTTATAATCTGATCGCCCTCAAAGACGAGTCAACTCGCTGTAATCTACTCGAATTCTAGTGGAATCATTTTCAACTGGGTCAGGCCCCGTGGTTTTTCCCCTTTCCAGGATTTTCCACATAAAAAACCTTATGTTCTCTGTTTGTGAGCTGGATATTGTGCAACGCTAAGACGTAGCACTCTAAATCTATTGACGTGTATATTCTAGCCCACAACAATACTTTCTATTCTCTGATGCATATGGAAAGAAATATCTACTTTTATTTATAGATAATTACTCACGATACATGTATGTATATTTGTTCCATAATAAAAATAAAGTATTGAATGAATGTGTCTTCAAGGACATTAAAGTTGAAGTAAATGATAAATGTGGGAACTACATAATTATAGTAGGAGCAGACATAAGTGAATAAATATTGCAAAATATATGTTCCAATGGACACTTACCAAGTTCCTTTGTAAAGTTTCTTCAAGAATATGAAATTGTTATCCAATACAATATGCCTAGTTATTCAGTTCATATATTGTTATGAAGAGAAGAACCAAATATTATTGGTGCTTAGTATGCTTAAGAGTCTATTTATAGTAGTGAAGTAAGAAAATTATCATTAAAAGTTTTCACATGCTATAAATTGTAAAGTAAACTTTTTGTTAAGATGATATGAAGGAAGAGATGGATTCCATGAAGAACAATCATTTCTGGGATTTTGTAGAGCTACCTACCAAAGCAAAGGTCATTCTATATAATTGGATATTTAAGACTAAATAAGCTTTATTAAGTGCCATTGAAAGATACAGTGCATGACTCATTGCTAAGAGATTTGCTCAAAATAAGGGGATTAATCACGCCTGTATATAAGAAAGATCTTCTTGTATATAAGAAAGTTTTTCTTAAGATTATTTTGGCATTAATTACTCAATTTGACTTTAACATACAACAAATGTATGGAAAAATGGCATTTTTTAAAGGAGATCAAAAGGAGGAAGTTTATACAAAACAATCGAAAAATTTCGGATCTAGTGATAATGAACATTTGGTCCATAAGCTTAAAAATGATTTAGGATAGGAAGTCTATTGAGCTAATTATGCTCATTCCATTCTTTTAATATTTCAGGAAATGATAAATGACGTCCTGCTAAGTAAATCAACTATAGAGGCAGGATTTTCAGATTTTGATTCCTGGTTCCAAATGTATGATTTTGTAATCCAATAGTTAATTTTGATGTGTTGACTTCAATGATCTGGATTATTCTAATTATATTTTGATGAGATGAAAGTTAATTATACCATGTTTATATTATGAAATATTTTAGTAGCTCTGGTTTTCTATAATTAGTTGATAATTTACTTAAATATAGATTATTACATCAAGTCCTTCAATTAAATCCCAGAGCATTACATCAAGATGTAAAATTATTTTAAACACTTTAAAATAGCTCTCGGCCAAATTAGGGGACACTAGAATATATAATCTTATTTCCCACACCTCAACACCATCTTAAACTCCGTCAGATTATGCCATCAAATTCAGATCATACATCATAAGCAAATGTTTCACCATCATTTATCATATATTTATCCTACATAAAACCCACTCACTAAAGTGATTTATCAAATAAGCATAAATTAGACTAATCTTGACATTCTTGTTAGTATACCTCTTTAAAAACTTCATCATCCACTATAAACTCTAAAAAACTTTCTTAAATATTAAAATAAATATTCATAATCTTTTTTAGCTATTAATCTCCCAAATATAACAACACCTTTAATCATGAAGTTATTTCATCAAGGAGTCAAACTGTTCATAATTACCAATTCTTCTATGCAAGTAAATTTCACGTCCTATTTTGAGGGTACTTTATATGATGTATGTTTATAGAGTTTCATTTTGAGGCTTAAAGTACTCGATTATATTCATAAGAAATTAAAATATTTTTGAGATAATTCAGATGCTACCTTTATGACAATTAATAATAAAAGTTGGAGTCGAATCAAATACATCTCCGTTAAATACTAAGTCACAAGATAATATGTTGAAAGATAATAAATTAATTATTGAGCATGCACCACTAAAATTCGAGAACCATGTAGAGAAATTAATCAACATTTTGGTTAATTTATCATAGCATAATATAGCTCGCAATTAAATCAATTATAAATTTAAAATTAAAAAAAAAGTTTAAGAATATCCTGATATAA